ATATTCATGAAAAGGATTTGCACATTTTAATTTGTAATCAGTCATCAAAACTTTTACTCTATATTAGTTAAAACGAATTTTTGATCGAATAATTCATTAATGACGTTTTAACAAATATTTGAACGATTGTTTGTTGTTAGTTTCAAGAAAATAAATTAGTAATGAAATCTGTTGCAGGCGTTTCGGAGTTTATCTGCAAAATTTATTAGTTTATAAGTATAGATTTTATAGAATTCAAAGTCTATTTATGTTTTATTTATTTATTTATTTTTGTAGACTTAACAATATCGATTATAAAAAAAATAGAACAGTACTCGATATATAATCTTTGTTCTCTTTGCTTTATCTACTTTTTATTGCTTTTATCAAGAATATGTAATGTAAAAATGCTAATTTTTAAGTTGTTGTCTATCAGATTTATGACACATTATACGAAGGCAATAAATTGTACATGTATGCATGCTGTGAGCATATGTTTATGTGTGAATTTTCAATTGCTTTAATTCATTATCAAGACCGAGAATCCATTGTAATTGATTATCCATTTTGGAAAGGAACATTAAGCAGTTATATTTTAAGTAGAAAAAGACATAAAATAGCAAAATTTAAGGGAAACTTGCTAAGTTTTGAACTTTAAACATTTCTCGATCAAAATCAAACTGATCCCTACTGGAGTTAAATAAAGTAAAAATATTTATTTATTTCACAAATACACTGGATTGCTTTGTTCTAATATCGTTTGAAAATTGACTGAACTTAAAAAGTGAATCATTTTTCTGCGGTAACTGCATAAATAATTAAATAGGTCTTTGCTTGTGATTGTCTTTTTTTTTAATGTTGCTTCAATTTTTATCAGAATTGGTGCAAATTTGAAAAATAAAGGACTTTTCACAAAGATATGTACATGGCACAGGCCTTTGGATCGCTTAAATCCGACTTTAAGAAATTGGGGTGTATAAAAAAGATATTTTTTTAACACCTTAATTTTCTAAAGCGATCTAATGGCCTGTGATACATGGAGTACATTAATATACGAAGCGTTTGGTTCATAATCAATGATTTTTTATTCAAATATATAGCATAAAATAGTTCTTGTAGTTTTTTTTTCAACTCTGTCTCACCTACTTTAACAGTTTAAAAGGCGTTCATGTTGTGGACATATCTTCAGTATTGTAACGCGACGTATCTAAACTAAATATATTTCCATAGATCATCAATTCTTTTAGCGATATGCTAATAAAGATATTTTCGTAACATTTGACAATTAAATAGCCATGGTTTTAAGTATTTATTTATTTTGGGTTGAGTATTAGGATGAAACAATTACAAAGTGTTTTCTTAGAGATGAGTTTGGACAAACTGAGTAAATCAATTTTTAAAACTGATAAACCATTTAATAATAATTGCTTCTACAATTTATTTCAGTTAATATATTATAATCAAGTCTATACATGTAATTCTAGAGGCTACTACGTGAATGTTATATACACTTTTAATATGTGAATATTATATATGTATTTCTTTTTTTTTTTATTAGCAAACTATTGCGTTTCAGTTTTTTTTCTTTTTATGTGTCTTCATTTCCTAGTCTAAAAAAGTTTTACAAAGTGATAACTTAAACAAAAAATAAGTATTTGTATTTCCATTTTGTTATTACATTAAACCCTTTTCTTACAACAATAATTAAATTATTTACATTTGCGGTAGATCTTTTTTTAAAGCTTGTCGAAATAAACCGATTTAATTAAATTTCTCAAATATATATAATTTTAATTGATAGTGCCGATTTTAATTTATTTATGAAAATGTCTTGTAAATCTAAGCGCTAATCTACAAACACGCAATTTTATTACATACGGAGCCGGTTAATTGATTATTTTGATAAAATTTATTTACTCTTGATTAAAATTTTCCATCCAAAATATGGACGAGAAAGCCCTCTAAATGGCAAAAATCTGGCAAATGTTCAGTTTTCATCAGTGTTATGAATTTTGAATCCAAGAACACACGGACAGGGAGTGAAATGACCCAGGTAGAAGAGTGAAATGACCTGCCGTGAAATGGTATCGAGAGAAATAACCTAGGAGAGAAAGGGTTTTAGAGAGAAATGACCTGACACCCTGAAAATGTATGGCTGCCCCCCCCCCCCCCATTGAATTTGCTTCCTACGGGCCTGGAAAAATTGTCTTATTGTCTACACTGAAATTAAATTATAAGGAATGAAGCTTATTTTAACCTATGTTTTACGATATAACATAATTTGGGACAGTTTACGCTTTATAAACCGCGAAGTACATGTATAGTCCTATTCCAATATTCATATGCGGATGAGATTGCGGATGAGACTGACTGGAATTTGTGGAGTGATTTTGGCTCTTCAAGTTTTCAAGTTGTTTGCATTTATTCAGATTTGCGGTATGATTTTTTGTTCTTTCGAGTTTGATATGGGATTTTCTGAGTGTCCTAAAAATGGCTACATTTATACTGCTGATATTTTAGGAATATTGGAATACGAGAATTAATACGATTAATACACAGATATTTGAGTTAGAATCCCAGCTTAAAAACAAAAGAAACGCTAATGAACTGGAACTTACATATAAATAATCTTTTAACTGCAATATCAAACTCTATGAACAACAATAAATCCCAAAGGGAATCAACAAAGTGTCAAAGGATAACAAGAAATCCCAGTAGAAATTCACCCCCCCCCCCAACTCATGTAAAAATTGACTTCACAACATTTGGACGAATCTTAGCGAGGACCTACATGCATTCATGTTTCGTCTGAACGAATTTCATCGTAAAAACTACACTGAGCTTCTGAACATTACATATAAATTATCTTTTCTTGCACTACGTTGCGTATTAATTAATTTACTGTAATTTAGGCGAACAATTATTTTCCTCCGCAAACACAGGCACTTGTTTCGGTAATAAATTTTTAACCCATATTATACTATGGGTTAAAAATTTATTACCGAAACAAGTGCCTGTGTCCGCAAAGTATAGAACTATACAGAAGTAGAATTTAATGAAACCAAACTATATTTCATGTTATCTTACTCTTATAGATACAGTACAGTGTATGTAAGTACTATAAAATATATTTGTTGCAAATGCAGAATTCATCATCTTTTTTAGACTGTAATTCATTTTGACACTTTTTGATCTTCATTAGTTATGAGGAGGAATGCTGCCCAGACAGTTGCACTGATGAGACATGCATATCCTAGAGCACTGTCCCTTGATATCTTTTGTAGTTTAGAAACTCAGTTGTAATGCCATATCTCTAGTTACTTATCACCTCTGTTTTTTTTGTTAGCTCACCTGAGCCGAAGGCTCAAGTGAGCTTTTCTGATCGAAATTTGTCCGTTGCCTGTTGTCGTTGTCGTTGGCGACGTTGTCGTAAACTTTTCACATTTTCATCTTCTTCTCAAAAACCACTGAGCCAATTTCAATCAAACTTGGCACAAAGTATCCTTGGGTGAAGGGGATTCAAGTTTCTTCAAATGAAGGGCCACGCCCTTTTCCAAGGGGAGATAATTACAAAATAGCAAAAAATTAATGGCATCATTGAAAAATCTTCTTCTCAAGAACCAATGGGCTAGGAAAGATGAAACTCATATGGAATCATTGTCAGGTACTGAAAATTCAAATTTGTTCAAATCATGACCCCCGGGGGTAGGGTGGGGTCACAATGGACGGTCAAAGTTTAACATAGGAATATATAGGAAAAATCTTCAAAAATCTTCTTCTCAAGAAAAGCAAAGCTATGATTGGTCATATTTATATGAAAGCATCTGCAGGTGGTGTAGATTCAAGTTTGTTCAAATCATGACCCCCGGGGGTAGGGTGGGGCCACAATGGACGATCGAAGTTTTACATAGGAGTATATAGGACAAATCTTCAAAAAATCTTCTTCTCAAGAACAGCAAAGCCATGGTTGGTCATATTTATATGGAAGCATCCTCAGATAGTGTAGATTCAAATTCGTTCAAATCATGACCCCCTGGGGTAGGGTGGGGCCACAATGGACGGTCAAAGTTTTACATAGGAATATATAGAAAAAATCTTTAGAAATTTTCTTCTGTAAGAACAGCAAAGCTATGATTGGTTATATTTATGTGAAAGTATCCACAGGTGGTGTAGATTCAAATTTGTTCAAATCATGACCCCCAGGGTTAGGGTGGGGCCACAACGGACGATCAAAGTTTTACATAGGAATATATAGGACAAATCTTCAAAATAGCTTCTTCTCAAGAACAGCAAAGCCATGGTTGGTCATATTTACATGGAAGCATCCTCAGATAGTGTAGATTCAAGTTTGTTCAAATCAATAACCCCAAGGGGTAGGTGGGGCCACAATGAAAGTTCAAACTTGTAGGGAAAAAAGTCACAGTCAAAAAAAAAAAATATATGTAAGCATCCTTAGTTAGTGTAGATTCAATTTTGTTCAATTCATACCCCCCCTCTCCCTTTTAGGGGTAGGTTGGGACCACTTATGTATTTAAGATGTTCAATTCTAAACTGATTTTTGCTTTTCTCCTAGCCACTGTGCTCAGGTGAGCGATGTGGCCCCTGGGCCTCTTGTTTTTTTTTTTTTTGTATTGCTGTATGTTTATGTGTCTACTTGTCCTCTCATGCTTACTTGTATTTTTGTTATGCTCCTAGTGGGACCATGATTGGCAAATAAAATATATCTATATATATCCATATATGTATATATCTTAGTGTACAGTTTCTCCCAGTATCAGGGGAAATTCACCAATATTAAATTCTGTTGTTGTTTTTTTTAAAAGTAAAATTGAAGTCTCCAACATATCTAATTTCTAGATGAGAGAGAGAGAGAGAGAGAGAGAGAGAGAGAGAGAGAGAGAGAGAGATTGGCAAAGTCGACGTCTTTTTAAATATGCTACATTGAATATCCAAAGCTAAAACAAGCAAGAATATGACCTCTTATCTAAATGATGTACTTAATATATTTTGGTCTGGATATAAAAGTAGGCTGATTTGGCAATACGACAGTCACGAACACGAACATCACGATTCTATTGTTTACACGTGGCTTTGTTTACAAGATACGATGTAAACACAACTCAGACTATCCAATAAAAATTATCGTAAGACCCAGAATGGATTTGCTAGGGTCACGCCCCCTTTTATTTAGCTAACTTCCGGTAATGGCGACTAGGAGAAGAAGACGAAGGGTCAGAATATAGATTTTGTCAAATTAGACATGTAAAGCAGACAATAAAGAGGATCTCCATCATGGAGCAGGTAATTTTTGCTTATGAATCAATTCTTGATGTGGAAAGTCCATCACAAATTTTCCAATTGTGCGTTTCAACAACAAGAACATGATCTGTTAACTGATGCCAGCATATATCAGGTCCAGGAAAATCACTCTATTTAGCTATATAGCTTAATTTACCTATATAGCTTTATTTACCTATATAATATAGCTTTATTTAGCTATTTTAGAATAAGTTTCTGTTTTATGAAAAGCAAACAAAAAGTCGCATGAAAATTATGGCTGATATTTTTTTTAAAAAGGTTTGATAAAAACAACCTAGGGCATAGATAGTAAAAACATTGCCTCTTTTAAACACTTTTTAACCAAAAAATGCATCTCTATTGTTTGGATAGCTGTCCATTACTGGAAGTGCGATGAGGCATGACTGAGTGTGATTGCCTTGCATTGTGCTGAATTATTACCAATCAATTATCTTGTTGACCAACTTCAAAACTGCTTTTCTTTGTTAAAGTAGCTGCTTATTCACAGATTAACTGTTATACATAGCCCCAAAACTTTTAGATCTTTCATTGCAATTGCACGAAAGGAGAAACATTTTTAAAAGTGGGTTTTTGGTGAATTGTTTTCAGTCCATTTCAAAGTTGAAAACTAATACTGCCTCATTATGCGATTTTTTGTCTGCTTTTCATAAAACAGAAATTTACTCTGAAATAGCTAAATAAAGCTATATTATATAAGTAAATAAAGCTATATAGGTAGATTTAGCTATATAGCTAAATATAGTGATTTTCCTAGACCTGTATATGGCAAGAAATTGGCATTGTGTTTTGAGGTCATACTTTTGTACCCTAGGGTACATCCTCTATTTATCCTTTAGCAATAAGGTTACAAAACCACAGTACCACAGACTTGTCGAAATTTTAAAATCATTGTCAGACATTTGGTCTGACAAAGTCAAATGTTCTGTTGGACCAGTCAAAGTTTTGTCAGACCAGATACATGTACCTTATTTTGACGCTGTGAAAGTCGTATGAATAACAGCACCAAAATGCCCTGGATTATTTTCAACAGCCTTCAATCTTACAAGTTTCCTTCGTTGGGATAGAAAGTCTTTAATAAAAGACATAAATGACATGTTTTATGACTTTGCTTTAACAAATTTAATTGGCTATCGTCAACGCGCCGCGTACGCGGCCATTTTTTTCTGTGTTTGTGACCTTCAGCTAGGCATCCTGATCCCGACCTTTATTAAATTTGCATCACGCTCGATTTATTCAAACGGTCATTTGGACCGACGTTTTCTTAAAAGTTGTCGGTCCAGACAAATTTTTACCGGCCTTGCCGACAGGATCGACGGATTTCGACAAGTCTGGTACCAATCCTTGCCACATCTATATGCTAGTGATGGCCCAGTAGCGTTGTTTTGTGTGGTATTGGGTATCTGATACACAGAGTTAAATGATAAATAGAGGTCAATACACGGTCCTACTAAACAGAGAACCCTAGAGAACTCTAGAGAACCCTAGAGAACTCAAGGTTTATTTGGTCAATTCAAATAAATTTTATGCATAATAGAGTTTATTTTTACTATGTAAATCATATATTCTATCTATAAAATCAATAACAAGATTATTTTATGGATGTTTTACCTCGAAAAAAGTTGAAAACGTAACAAAATAGATTAATGTAATATTTTATGTCATCATGATCCCAACTGAATTTCAAATATGTTGTTTATTGAAATAATAATTTTACCACATAATTTTACAATTCTTTTCACATTATTTTTTATTTAATTTATTTTTAAGTTATGTAGAACTCTTAGCCATTTACTTTGGAGTAAAACTTATTTGAAAAAAATAATTAAAATAACACATTTTCTCGTCAAAATTTCCACTTGTCAAACTTCACATCATATATATAGTGTCACCACAGACATTGACTATTATAAACTTTACCGCTTAATTTTCTCGGCTTTCCCCCATTAGAAATGGATCAAAGGTAATGTTCAATTGTTTTGTAAATAGTTATGAAAACATAACTATAATCACAGTTTTAAAAGCCATTGAATCTAAACAAGTGTGCCATATACTATTAACACCCATGATCACAACATTCTAACTTTGCGTAATTATCACGCCGTGCTTGACCTACTTTGTCACCCCAGGCAATTGGTCTCGTATAATGAAAACAAAATTTATTCAATCAAATCTTATACACTGTAGATGGTTTCTACAAGCAAAATTAAATTTTATTGATGCCAATGCTTGTAAAATGAGTTCACGAGGAAGTCGCTGTCTTTGCTTATAATAACGTCATGAACTTTCAGGACATATTTCGCATGAAGCGGCCTAATCGTACACAATATCAAGTCTATATCAAGACAACTAAGCCAATGTTTTCACCAGGTTTTTGGTCCTCTGGCGAAATCAAAGATACATAACTCTTGATTCAATATTTCGTAAAAATTAACACTCGTCAATTTTCATAAACAAAAAATCATCAACTTTTCAACTCGTCAAA